TCATGCAAAAATAAGAACGCGAGGCAACGTAATNAATTCCTTTTTTTACTCTCAATTTTATTTGATTTTTAAATGTTAATGTTAAACTTCCAAAAAAATCATGGCCGACGAATTGAGAGAACGGTTTTACCTTACTATGTTTTTATCATGGTTTCGAGTTGGTTAGCTTTTAACNTGTTTGACCTAAATATTTTCTACTCATGCAAAAATAAGAACGCGAGGCAACGTAATGATAATATGTTACATATTTAGGTAATATTTAGCATTTTCTATAAAGTAGAATGTTGCTAACACTTAATTTTTTAAGAGCAATAGGATCTCNTTCAATAATACAACGTTAGATAATTATTGACAGCCGCGGTTTGACACTCCCTTACAAAAGGTTGCATTTACGAAGGATGGGGAAAGGGGAGGAATGAAATCCATTGCTGCGAAAATGATAGTAGAAAAGTACCCAAGGTAGGCAAATAGGAGTGAAATTCCTTTAAAATATATNTCTATAAAGTAGAATGTTGCTAACACTTAATTTTTTAAGAGCAATAGGATCTCAACCTTTTCTACTTTATATAAATTTTATTCTACATATATTTTTTAACAACTTAAGTATAGTTCTGCGTCCGCCAATTTCTACAGCCATACATCAAAAAATAACGAAGTTACTTTATTGACGCATTGCTATGAATGAGTTACTTCNCCATAGCAAATTTTTCTACCCCGTCTCACCACGGAGAAAAAAGTTACCGATTGGCACAGGGCCTCAGTACGCTGTCTCTAGTCTGAAAAACAAANCTAACTTTAAATTTTTTTACTGAAACCGGTGGTGAACACTCAAAAAACGGTCCCAAGAGAGGCATAACATGAATGAAAAAAACTGAATACATTTGAAGTCAAGCGGAATAGAGGACTAGATTTCAAGTTTTTTAAAAAACCGGAGTAAATATAATCTGATCTTAGTTAAGTCAAAACACTAGTAAGGAACGATTTTTTTACATTTTAACGCTATTGACCCATAGATGGCGGGAAAACACAGGGTTGTATCAGACTTTCGACGTGGTGGCATCATAAAAAAACTAGGAATGTAGAACCGCTGAGAGGAGTTTTACAAATTCTTGACGTTTGNGTCAGCTGGCTAAGAGCAGGTCACAAAAATAGAAGTATGGAGGAAAAGCTCATTTCTTTCCATTTTATTACCNACCACGGAGAAAAAAGTTACCGATTGGCACAGGGCCTCAGTACGCTGTCTCTAGTCTGAAAAACAAACCACTAATTTGTCAGCTGGCTAAGAGCAGGTCACAAAAATAGAAGTATGGAGGAAAAGCTTATTTCTTTCCATTTTATTACCAAAAAAAACGCGAAAATGAAGCGAGGAAATTAGTTCAACAAGGATTTCATTAAGAAATAAACCAAAATGCTTTAATATCATACAAATGTTTTGAAAAAAATTAAGTTTTTTTTGTTATTAAAACATTAAAATCTANAAACCACTAATTTGTCAGCTGGCTAAGAGCAGGTCACAAAAATAGAAGTATGGAGGAAAAGCTTATTTCTTTCCATTTTATTACCAAAAAAAACGCGAAAATGAAGCGAGGAAATTAGTTCAACAAGGATTTCATTAAGAAATAAACCAAAATGCTTTAATATCATACAAATGTTTTGAAAAAAATTAAGTTTTTTTTGTTATTAAAACATTAAAATCTAAAGATTGTTAAACAAAATAAACCTAAAAAAAAATACTAAAAAAAAAAAAATAAGAAATCTTCTACGGCCGAGGAGGACTTGAACTTGGACCCTCTCGGCTGCCAGCCTAATGCTTTGACCACTCGGCCATTGCGACTCTGAGCGGTGCGGGTAAAAGGCATACCTAAACATTATCACTTGATTGTGTTTGGTTTCACCACACATTTTTGGTGAACTTTTTGTGACTCTCCTTCTGAATATCCCAATCGTCTCAAGTCACACAAATAGTAACTAATTGCTAATCTCAAATTTGGTGACTTGAGAGAAGACTTAATTACTGAATCCCCAGTGTGTTAGTGAAAAAGTGTGACTGTATTGAAAATTGAAAGGGGGAAAATTGAATGTGTAACGTCCCGATAAGAATCGAGCTACGAAATTTTTGTCACCCACCCACACAATCTTGGTTTACTGTTAAAAAACCGGTTTAGTTTAAATAGCTCGCTCGATATGAGTATAATATTACAGCTTCCACGTCCGACATTTTGCCCAAAATGTATTGTCATAACTATTTCCAGGATGCCTGCGTCACGGAGACAATTATCAGTGTTTTTGACAACTAATAGGCATTTCTTTATTGTCTTGACAGCATTGTCTAATGTACACGCGCCGTAAGTTGCATAGATGCACAAAGCGATTTATATAAGGCAGAAACCAAGGTGTATTCAATAAGGTGGTATCAGTACGCCAATAATAAAATGTACATGTGTTTTGGTTTTGCTTTTGCGGGGAGGACTGTCAAAAATTGCATACGAAGGATGCGAAAGAGAACAGAAAACAATAAACGATCAACTGCTCCAACCAATCAACAGCAGCCATTTGACATATGAAGTCGGTAGGCGATGAAAAATAAAAGGGTGCTGCTATCACTAGTTAAATACGCCGTGGCAAAAACGTAGAGGAAATAATTTCGGTGTTAAGGCCTTGTGCCAATTGATAGAAAATAGAAAATTGTGACGGATCAAAGTAAAAATTTGACACTTCTCGTGGTGAATACGAACGTCAAAATTTTACCTAGCTCATGGGGCTAGGTAAAATTTTGACAACTTCTAAATATGTTTACAAATAGCATTGTTTGGCGGTAATAAAGAGTTCAAATCAAAATAGAAGCTGAAAAAATGGCAAAAAAAGCGTACGTTACTTGTAAGTTATAAGATAAATGAAACTTATGCGCGAATATTTATGTATTTATTTATTCTATCTATTTAAAGGGAACCACGCGGAAAGGCTTATGTTAATAAGAAGGAGGACAGATGAGGATTCAGTAAAGAAAAGTATTTTCTTTCTATTCTGTTCATTTTACATATAAATTTTAACAAATTTCAGCAACACACAAAAATAGACTTTTCGCTCGAGCGTTTGTTTGGTTTTTCAACTGTCAAAATTTAACTCTGCATTTGGCACAGCAAAATTCAATTGGGGTGTTCACAGTTCGTTCCAAATTGTGTCTGAAAATGTAGACGTCTACATTTTGAGACATCTTTAGCATCAAACTGTGAGCACCCCTTTCTAGCAGTCGTCGCAAAATCGTCTCAAAACTTTGCTGGTGTTGCCAGACATTTCTTCTTTGCGTGCTTTTTTATATGTCGCCTTTCGATTTTGTTTCTGAAAAATTGTAATTATTTAACTTAATTACCAATTCCTAATATTTGTTATTTCTTTTCCTTGATTTGTTTCTTTTCATCAGAAATTGCGCTTAAATTAAATGCAAATACAGAAAACGTGCCCAATAAATAAAAAAAATGCGATTAGTATTTCCATAATGCAACCCTGCTGCGAGGTTGCAAAATGTAGACGCGTAAAAAACATACCTTTGAGTGTGACAAAATGTAGACGGCGGAAAACGATTTTGTATGGGAAACAACAACACCACAGATTTTACGGTTAGAAAACGTCTTAAAATGTAGACGTCTACATTTTGAGACATTTGGGGTGTTCACATTTCGTTCCAAATAGTTGGGGTGTTCACAGTTCGTTCCAAATTGTGTCTGAAAATGTAGACGTCTACATTTTGAGACATTTTAGCATCAAACTGTGAGCACCCCTTTCTAGCAGTCGTCGCAAAATCGTCTCAAAACTTTGCTGGTGTTGCCAGACATTTCTTGTTTGCGTGCATTGTTTATATGTCGCCTTTCGATTTTGTTTCTGAAAAATTGTAATTATTTAACTTAATTACCAATTCCTAATATTTGTTATTTCTTTTCCTTGATTTGTTTCTTTTCATCAGATATTGCGCTCAAATTAAATGCAAATACAAGAAAACGTGCCCAATAAATAAAAAAAATGTGATTAGTATTGCCATAATGCAACCCTGCTGCGAGGTTGCAAAATGTAGACGCGTAAAAAACATACCTTTGAGTGTGACAAAATGTAGACGGCGTCGTTTTCCAATTTTGTATGGGAAACAACAACACCACAGATTTTACGGTTAGAAAACGTCTTAAAATGTAGACGTCTACATTTTGAGACACTATTTGGAGACTGTAACAGTTCTCCAATAGTGTCTGAAAATGTAGACGTCTACATTTTAAGACGTTGCCTAACCGTAAAATCTGTGGTGTTGTTGTTTCCCATACAAAATTGGAAAACGACGCCGTCTACATTTTGTCACACACAAAGGTATGTTTTTTACGCGTCTACATTTTGCAACCTCGCAGCAGGGTTGCATTATGGCAATACTAATCACATTTTTTTTATTTATTGGGCACGTTTTTTGTATTTGCATTTAATTTGAGCGCAATATCTGATGAAAAGAAACAAATCAAGGAAAAGAAATAACAAATATTAGGAATTGGTAATTAAGTTAAATAATTACAATTTTTCAGAAACAAAATCGAAAGGCGATATACAGGCTGCGTTTCTTTATACATTCCGGATAATCCCATTTCACAGCCGGAACAAACAGAATACGTTTGAAATATACGTTAGCATATCATCAGGAATATTCTAAAGAATAAGTAAACAAAAAAGTTTATTCCAAATGTTCAGAATGTAGACGTCTACATTTTCAGACACAATTTGGAACGAACTGTGAACACCCCAACTATTTGGAACGAAATGTGAACACCCCAAATTTATTTGTACACCATAGTAAATTTTTCCACCCCGTCTCACCCCGGAGAAAAAAGTTACCAATTGGGACAGGCCCTAAATTAAACTTGGTATCGGGTTTTATACGAGTACTTATATTGATAATTTCTCAGTACTGGGTTCTAAAGTATCGATGCCAGAATTACTTGGCTGCTAACGAAATGTATCGAGTATGTACTTGTATTTACTCGTATCTTTTCAATCCTACTCGTATCTTTTCATTTGTAATTTTTAGAAATCCCCTTAATTAGACGGAGCATATCAAAATTGTATTAAAAAAATAAATACTTCGATAGTATCATGCCTTCGTTAGAAGCTCCAAATAATGGAGCGGATTCGTCTACCCAAGGCGACGACCACTCAAAGCCAATGAGTGGGCCAATAATTGGAATAATTTATCCTCCTCCGGAGGTAAGAAGTATCCTTTTTAACTACGCCTTTTCTATATGGCTTTTGACATTACTTTTACGTTACGATGTTTTTTAAGCTGATGTTATCAATGTTTAGCTAGAGGTTTTCTTTAACGAAATTTGTAGATATTGTTGACAAAACGGCTAGTTTTGTTGCTAGAAATGGGCCTGAATTTGAAGCAAGAATTCGCCAAAATGAGTTGGGTAATGCCAAATTTAATTTTTTAAGCGCAGGGGATCCATATCATGCCTACTATAGACATAAAGTAAATGAATTTCGGGAAGGAAAGGGTAAGATAGTTGCATCATGACAATATAACAGCGGTATTTATCTACCATAAATATAGATGCTACTGGGGGTCCGAGTGTTGTCACAGGAATAAAACAATTATCTGTTACCAGCGCTGCGCAGCAAAAGCAACAGGAACTTTTGAAACAAGTTTCGGAACAGCAATTTGTGCCAAGGGATCCTCCTACCGATTTTGAGTTCATTGCAGATCCCCCATCTATTTCAGCTTTAGATTTGTACGTTGTTTATTTATGTTTAACTATAATTTGGTAATTAATATATATTTGTATGTATAGGGACATTGTTAAGCTAACAGCTCAGTTTGTAGCTCGTAATGGTCGACAATTTCTGACAAACTTGATGAACCGCGAACAGCGTAATTTCCAATTTGACTTTTTACGACCTCAGCACTCTTTGTTCCAATATTTCACTAAGCTATTAGAACAATACACCAAAATATTAATTCCGCCAAAAGATCTCTTAAATAAACTACGTTCAGAATGCGCGGATGGTCGATCTAGTATTAATTTAGTTTTGGATCAAGTAAAATATCGAGCAAATTGGCAGAAACATCAGGAAGCGCAGCGCCGTCGGGAAGAAGAGAAAGTTGAGAAAGAAAGAGGTAATTACTAAAATATTACTTTGGACATTTTTGTTATATAAATGTTATATGCAGTGGCTTACGCCCAAATCGACTGGCATGATTTTGTGGTTGTCGAAACTGTAGACTACCAACCTTTCGAAACGGGTAACTTTCCACCACCAACTACACCTGAAGAAGTTGGGGCTCGTGTACTAATGGAGGAGCGCTTGATGGAAGAAGATGGAGACATTGAAATGCAGATTGAATCAGATGAAGAGGATGGCCTAGATGAATCTTCTGTCGTTAAACTGTCGCAAATGGAAAATCGTACTGGCATACAAATGAAAGGTTTCTCCTTTAATCACCAGCCGACAAATGCCAATAAGGATAATAACCAAGTCCAAGATATGGATGAGGCCAGCAGTGATGAAGATACGCCTTCAAACTCTAAGACTCAACCTCCAGTTACACCACTACTGCCACCAACACATGATAAGGTAGTTGTTAAAAAATACGATCCGAAAACAAGTCAACAGAAGCAGCCAAAACAAGGTGTTGCCGATGAATATCTAATTTCTCCAATAACAGGGGAAAAAATACCAGCTTCAAAAGTTGCCGAACATATGCGAATCGGTTTATTGGATCCACGTTGGGTTGAGCAGCGTGATAAGCACACTGTTGAAAAAATTAATCAAGACACAGTATACGCCGCTGGTACCGCCATTGAAGCAAGTTTAAAACAGTTGGCAGAGCGTCGCACAGATATTTTCGGTGTGGGCGATGAGGAGACAGTAATTGGTAAAAAATTGGGAGAAGAAGAAACTAAAAAAGACGATCGGGTCACTTGGGATGGTCATACATCAAGTGTGGAGGCAGCAACGCGGGCAGCTCGAGCTAATATAACTTTGGAGGACCAGATTCATCAAATTCATAAAGTATGTTTCTGTTTGAAATTAATGCCGAAACAAGTCGTCCATTTACCAAAAAATAAATCATAAATCAAAAAATTAATTTTTCAGAAGCGTTTACAGTATTAAATTTGTTCTCAAAGTGCACAAATATATGGATATTTTCCTTTTGGCCAAAGCTTCACAAGTATATAGAACAAAAATCGTATGCAATGTGAAGCATGATATAATGATTATATATTTTATATATTTGATAAAAAATTATATTTTTTGAGTTGAGAAATCTTTTAGTAATTGAGCGATGTGTACTTTGTAATAATGCAATCACAAATCCTCATACAGGTAAAGGGACTATTACCAGATGAAGAAAAAGAAAAAATCGGTCCGAAACCAGTGGGCAACAAAACTATTTTGTCGGCGCCCCCTTTGTCACCTCAGACAGCTTCGAAGGGACATGTTCAAGTTTCACATCACTCGCTTTCTCATCTTCATCCACCACAACAACAATCACAACAGCAAACGCACCCTCCACCATCTTCCCATAATTTATCCCCTACGGCAACACCAGTCATGATAATGCCAATAAGACCACCACCACCAATGATGCGTATGAAATTAATCCGATATATTTGAAAAAATACTTATTTAAAAATTTTTCAGCACCACCATTCCCAGTTGGTGGCTACATGACTCCTTTACAGACGGCTGGACCACCCCAAATGACACCAGGATCGAATGTGGTAGAACAATCAATATTGTCTATTCCTCCAATACCAGTGGATGAGGAACCACCAAATAAGAAAATGCGTTCGGAAGATAATCTGATACCCGAAGAAGAATTTATAGCAAAACATAAGGTATGTTTAACACACTCTCAGTATGAATATGTCTCATCTATTGTTTTTTTTTTAAATACCTTAGCAATTTTTATTTTATTTTTTTTCGTAGGAGAGGGAAATGCTTTTTGCACTGGCCGGGGGCGTTAGTCTCTATACTTCCGTCCCCGAGTGTGGGTCTCCCACCGAAGCGTGTTGGGCTACCCACTAAAACCCAAACTCCCACCGCCAGCGCAAGAATCCCGCATCTGGACAGCAATTCTGCTTGTCTTCAAATGCAGGAGCGCGCTGCTAGAGCCTCGGGGCTGCTCTTTTGCAGGGGTGTTTCATTCGGGTGTCCTCAGTAGACAGCCGTCCTCTCGTTTGCAGCGGAGTTCGAATTTCACGTATATCGCAACTGCTTCCCACTTGTCTGCACTGGAGATCATTACCCCAATTATGTTGTTTGGAGTTATGTCTCCGCGTCTTTCTTCCAACTTTCTGCGCGAAATCAAGAAGTGTTCGCAGGTGAAGAGTGTATGGTACACGTTTTCTTCGACGTCTCCACAGTAGTACCAGAACGGTCAGTCCACCCTTCCCATTCTATGAAGATGTTCTCGGAAGTAACCATGACCGGCGAGGAATTGCGTCAGGTAAAAATCGACTTCCCCATGCGGTCTGTTCAACCATGTTTCAAGGTCAGCTATCAGGGAGTGCGCCCATCGAGCTTTTGTGCTCGCGTTCCATTTTTGTTGCCACTGCTGGATCAGTTGCTCGCGCGCCCTTGCCGCGGCAGCTGCTCGACCTATCCCGGCACTGAGATTGTAAATCTCTGTGCGCTCGTAAGCAAGTAGCTCAATTGGCATGACGCCAGAAATAACTAGAACCGCGTCCGCGGACACAGTACGGTATGAAGAAGCAATGCGTAGTGCCCCTCTGCGCTGGACCGAAGACATTTGAATCCGGTATTTTTTGACTTTCAATGCGTCGGCCCATATTTCTGCCCCGTACAGGAGCACCGACTGGACTGGTGTCATCAGAAGCTTCCTGCGGCATGGCTTCGGGCCGCCCACGTTCGCCATCAGCCGGCTTAGAGCCACGGTGCTCTGCGCAGATTTTTCACATACTTCATTGATGTGTTCCCAGAATGTGAGTTTGCTGTCAAGCTTCACCCCTAGGTATTTTGGTGTCCTAAAAGTTGTCACGACTTGAGGTCCGACCCTCATATTTACAATTGTTGGGATCCGTTTCCTGGTAAGGAGCACGATATTGTTTTTGTAGCGGCTACAACAACCCCGCCCAAATCGCCTTATATCTCAGTCGTTGTCGTCGAGTTCCACTAACGGCAGCCCTAGGAAGCGTGCAGCCTCTATCGGGTCGGTCCACAGGGACAAAGCCGTTAGGGCTGTCGGGTTTTCCGGGCAGGCGAAGAGATGTTTCGAGTCATGCGGGGTCTCTCCGCATGCCGGACACATTTGGCACATCCTCATTCAATCTGTTCAGGTATGAGTTTAACCTGCTGCAGTAGCCAGAGCGAAGTCGGGCTATTGTTGTTCGTGTCTCCCGAGGCAGATGAATCTCCGTCTCGTGTATGTCCGGTGGTTGTGCGCCCAGAACGGCATTCACAGGTCTGGAGTCTACATAACTCGAGACTGACTCCCTGTGAATGCCGTTCAGGTCCTGTCGATATGCTGACTGGTCCAGAGGTTGTTTAATGAACCTCTGGACTTCGTCCGTCAGTTCGTAGAGATGCCTCCTAACGTGCCTGGGCGAGGCCTCTGCTGCAAGCAGGTGCCCATTCGGGTGACCACGTGTATCCCTCCGGACAAGGAACTTCTTGCAGAGCATGGTGGTATGCTCCTTGACAGGGAGCAATTTCGCCTCGTCGTGTAGGTGGCGTTCAGGCGACATCAGGAGGCATCCAGTCGCTTGGCTGAGTGCGGTGTGCGGCGAGAAAGTTCGGAGAGATACCCGTTTACTTTTGAACACAGGTCATCAATTCCATTCCCAGTCGCCATGATCGAGCAATCGTCGGCGTANCACGGACGGTTACGGTTAAGGCCACGATATATCTGAGTGTTTATGGCGTTAAGTGCTGTTGTTGTACTGTGCACTTTACGGAAGCCATGCTGATGCTTCGCTGGGGTCAGGTGGTTTGTGAAATACGGGAGCAGCAAGGCCTCCAGTGTCTTCGCTACCGGGGAAAGGAGTGTTATCGGCCGATACGAATCTCCTTTGTTGACAGGTTTCCCCGGTTTGAGCAGTGGGACCACTCTCCCCGCCTTCCAAATATCTGGGATGATGAGAGTGGCCATAGACAAATTGAGGACCTCCGTTAGGTACGCTACTCCCGCAGGACCAAAATTTTCCAGCATCAGCATGCATATTCCGTTGTTATTGTTGTTGTAACAGCATACAAATTCTCCAAAGAGATTTGGTGAGTGTTGGTGGAGTGACAGTCCTTGGCCAGATATACATCTGGGTCGTTCCGGTTACG